GCTACTCAGGAGGCTGAGATCTGAGGATAGCGGTTCAAAGCCAGCCCGGGCAGGAAAGACCGTGAGACTTCTATCTCCAATAAACCACCAGAAGACCGGAAGTGGTGCTGTGGCTCAAGTGGTAGAGCGCTCGCCTTGAGCTGAAGAGCTGAGGGACAGCGCCCAGGCCCAGAGTTCAAGCCCCACGACCGACTAAAAAAAAAAAAACAAGACATAAGGTTAGGTTTTTAAGTCTGCATCTCTTATCATTAGTACCATAATCTTGTATTTTCCATATACCTGAACTTATTTTTCTTTCAACATTTTTATTCCACATATTTAAAAAAATTGGTTACAGATCAATTTAACACGCCTGGCATTCTTTTCAACACAACGTTAGTCAATATGGGTAGTTTTTTGATTTCCTTTTAAAGCATGACACATCTTGCCTGCTACCAGAGGCTCGCACCAGCCTTGAGCAGAAAAAGCCAAATGAGAGTGCAAGGCCCTGAGTTCAAGCCCAGTGCGCACACACACACACACACACACACACACACACCAAAAGTCACATCTTGTGTTGGAGGGAAAACTGGGTGCTGGTGGCTCACGCTTTTAATCCTAGCTCCTCAGGCCACTGAGATCTGAGGATCGTGGTTTGAAGCCAGCCTGAGCAGCAAAGTCCATGAGACTCTTCTCTCCAATGAACCACCAGAAAGCAGCAGTGGCGCCGGGCTCGAGCATAGCGGTCCTCAGCATGCGGACTCGCTCACCTTCTAGTGACGGTGACGGTGACTGCGGGCCTGCTTCCCCCAGCTGCCAAACACAGGGCGTGTGCCGCGTTGATGGACAGCAGTTATCACGCTCCTTTTCCCTAAAGAGCTTTTCCATTCTTGTCCCAGCTGGCAGAAGCAGCAGCATGAAGAGAGCACCCTGATTTGTCATTATCAGTCACCAGCACTTCAAGCTGCAGCGAGAATCCCACAAGGACTGTCTGTCTGTCTGTCTGAGCCTACCCAGTGCAGTGAACCCAGTAGCCTGCGACTCCTCTGGCCCGGACTCTCCTTCAGGTCCCTGGCCTCTGCCACACAGGCCAGGAGCAGACTTCGTTCTCCCGGCATCTTTGTGAGACACAACTACCCTATCGGAGGTCATCTGTTTTTTTTTTTTTCTTTCTGACATCTTTGGATCGATTTGATGTCCCATAATTCTTTTATCTTCTATTATCAACTTGGAAACTGCACTTTTCATTCCATTCTGCTGTAGTTAATCTTAATAAAGCACTCACATACTGTAATTATGCACTGTTTTAGCTCTAACATCTAGCAGTGCTCTCTTTTTTGTTTTTGTTTTTTGTGCTGGCCCTGGGGCTTGCATGCAGGGTCTAGGCACTGCCCCTGAGCTTTTTTGTTCAAAGCTAGCTCTCTACCACTTCAGCCACAGCTCCACATCTGACTTTATTTTTTCTTTTTGTCAGTCGTGGGGCTTGAACTCTGGGCCTGAGCACTGTCCCTCAGCTCTTCAGCTCAAGGCGAGCGCTCTACCACTTGAGCTACAGCACCACTTCTGGTTTTCTGGTGGTTTATTAGAGATAAGAGTTTCACAGCCTTTCTTGCCCAAGCTGGCTTTGAACCATGATACTCAGATCTCAGCCTCCTGAGTAGCTAGGATTACAGGCGTGACCAACTGGTGCCTGGCTCACGTCTGACTTTTTGATAGTTAACTGGAGACAAGACTCTCACAGGCTTTCCTGCCCAGGCTGGCTTCAAACCATGATCCTCAGAATTCAGCCTCCTGAGAAGTTAGTATTACAAATGTGACCTTAGTAATGCCTCTTTGAAAGGATTTATTTAGGGGCTGACAGTACAGCTTGCTGATAAGAGTGTGTGCTTAGAAAGGCACCGAGTTCCATCCCCAGCACTGCAAAACAGACAAATGAAATAACAAAACTAAAATTAAATGAATAAAGGGATTAACAATATCTCATTTTGATTTCAGTTTTTGCTGATTTGTGTTCCTTATCTTTTTGGAGGCAGGGTCTCAGTACAGAGCCCAGGTCGGCTTTGAACTCACGGTCCTCTTGCCCCAGCCTATGAGCACTAGAGTCTCTATCTATTCCTTTTCTCTGGAGTACTGCTCTATTTCTAATTAACAGAGTATCCGTGGAACGACTGAGTCAAGAGGAAAATTACCCAGGGACATTCTTTAGCCCAAAGCCCGTAGGGGAGCCGGCCGAGGACACAGCGGGAATAACGCTGGGGAGCTGGGAACAGGCAGAGGCATGGAGACTACTAAGAGCAGGACACTGAGGCGGGAGCCAGCGGGGTAAGGAGTGCTCTAGAAGCATCAGCTACTTCTGCAACAGGAGGGAATGGGGTAGGAGCACTGGGGTACGGTCTGTTTAAAATGTAAAGCCAGGGCTGGGAGCCCGGGGCTCACGCCTGTAATCCGAGCTACTTAGGAGGCTGAGATCTGAGGATCATGGTTCAAAGCCATTCCGGGCGGGAAACTCTTATCTCCAGTAAACCACTAGAAAACCGGAAGTGGTGCTGTAGCTCAAGTGGTAGAGCACTTGCCTTGAGCTGAAAGGCGCAGGGACAGCGCCCAGGCCCAGAGTTCAAGCCCCACGACGGACAAAAAAAATAATAATAATAAAGCCAGGAATTGTCTCATAATACCCCTCAGCAACAACGAATGACAGGCCCTGTGCTGGAAGGGTGTGGAAATTAATAGTTCCATGGCAGCAAAAAACAGGCATCCTAGGGGCTGGGAAGGCGGCTCAGTGGTAAAGCGCTTGCCTTGCATGCATGAGGCCCTGGGTTCGATTCCTCAGCACCACATAAGCAAAAAGAAAAAAGCCGGAAGTGGTGCTGTGGCTCACGTGGTAGGGTGCTAGCCTTGAGCAAAGGAAGCTCAGGACAGCGCCCAGGCCCTGAGGTCAAGCCCAGGACTGGAAAAAAAGAAAAATTCAAAAACTTCAAAAGGACATCCTGGAGGGTCTAAATGCGCGGCCAACGCTGAGACGTAAGGCCGGGGAGCGGCCGCCGAGGCCTGGACGAGCCCAGGACGGGGGTGACCCGGCCAGGTCAGGCAGCTAGCGACGGCCACACCAAGAGAGGAGCGACACATGGGCGGGCAGCGACGTGGCCAGGCCTCGGGCTGGCCAGCAGGAAGGCCGCGCCATGCCACACCGCGCGGGTTCCAAGGCTTCCTCCTCGGGCCTGGGCCGCAGAGCCACACCCACGCCCGCTGGCCAACGCAGGGTCCAGGGACAATCTCCCAACTGGCTCCCAATCCCGGTGACATGCTAAGGGTTTCATCCAGTGTTGGCCAGGGAGACGCAGAGGGAGCCCGAGAATGGGGGCCACGTTTGACAGAGCACAGGCCCACAAGCTCCCAGGGACAGGGCCGGGGATAAGCGCCCAGAGCCCCGTGCGTGGCCCTGTCCACACAGGCCCTGCTCCCACACGCCCTCCGGGTCTCCTCTGTAATTAGCTCATTGAGGCTTGAACTTCAAAGCACCCACGGAAACCCAGCCTCTCCCCCGCCTCCACGCCGCAGAGCAGAGGCACCCTGCCTAGGGAGCAGTTACCTGCTCACCCTGCCACCGCTGCCCTGCGTGAGGCCGGCAGGCCGGGGACACCCGGAGACGCAATACTCAGAGAATATGAAATGGATGGGTCAGTGAGTGAATTTTCTTTTTTGGATGGTCGTGGGGCTTGAACTCTGGGCCTGGGCGCTGTCCCTCAGCTCTTCAGCTCAAGGTGAGCACTCTACTGCTTGAGCCACAGTGCCACTTCCAGTTTTCTAGTGGTTTATTGGAGATAAGAGTCTCACAGACTTTCCTGCCTGGGCTGGCCTTGAACCATGATCCTCAGATCTCAGCCTCCTGAGTAGCTAGGATTACAGGCGTGAGCCACCAGCACCCAGCTGAGTGATTTTTTTCAGATTTCAAACTGAGCTCCAGAAAGTGACAGGCTGAAAGTTACAACACCCGGGAGAAGACGGTACCTAAGCCACAATTCAAGCACACAACACACAACCACTCATGGGCTTCAACAAGCCTAAAGCAAGCATACACACAGCTGGTGCTCACACCTGTCATCCTAGCTACTCAAGAGGCTGAGAGCTGAGGATTGCAGTTTGAAGCCAGCCCAGGCAGGAAAGTCTGTGAAATTCTTGTTTCCAATGAATCACCAGAAAACTGGAAGTAGTGCTGTGGCTCGAAATGGTAGAACGCTACTTGAGCTGAAGAGCTGAGGGACAGCACCCAGGCTCAGAGTTCAAGACCCATGACTAACAACAACAACAAAAGCAAACAAAACACACACACACACACACGCTCACAAACATGTTAAACACTATTACCAGTGAGCAATAGGACATCTGTCCCCAGGCAGAGCATCCATCTCCTGACCAGGACTCACGTTCTCTGTTAAATAAAAACGACAGGAGACCGGGTGCCGGTGGCTCACACCTGTATATCCTAGCTACTCAGGAGGCTGAGGTCTTAGGATCATGGTTCAGAGCCAGCCCGGACAGGAAAGTCTGTGAGACTCTTATCTCCAATAACCTACTAGAAAACCACATACTCTACTTCATGAGTAAAGGGACGCCCATTTCTAGAACCACAAAATAAAGCCAGTCACCATCTCAAAATCCACTGTATTTGTAAATCAAATTATCATTATAAATAATAATTTAGAACTTTTACACTGATCTTATTTTACTGCTGCCTACTGGTTATTCTGATAGTTGTATTTCTCCAAGTAAGTAACCAAAAGTCTTTCTGCTTCTATCCCATGAAACACCATCATTTACACACTTCTGTCCTCTATTCCCGCGCCTCCTGGCCTGCCTTCAGCTGGGCTTTGAAGACAGAGTTGCTTGTGAGATGCATAGGCGTCTCCTGGCCGCGCTGGGCCGCAGGCTGCCCTGGGCCAGGCCTGGTCTCTGTGGCTCAGGCTCTGTGGTGTCAGGCGAGGGTTTTAGTCACGAAGTGGAGCACGCGTCTCCCCACCTACCTCGGCAATGAGGTCTTGCAGCTCCCCTTCAGAGGGGCAGCACCCCAAGGATCTGATAATCGTCCCGATCTCTCTGGGGGAAGAAAAGGCATTAATACTTTAGAACAGGAACTATAAAGGCAACTGCTGTGTAAACTATCAGGTGAAATATTGGTCTAAATGATTTCATACCATAAATAACACAGCAAACCAATTCATGGCGTTGGGCTTTCTGGTTATACGACACTTTCGGGGAAGGACAGGTGGAACCAGAGCGACAGAAGCAATGCTTTCAGTGATTGCTCGTGCCAGCCCTCATCAAAGCCCCCCCCCAAGAGCAGCGGGGGGGGGGGGAGTCTCCCAGCTTCTGGTTCCAGGCTGCAAAAATGCGGGTGCTATTGTCTCCAGAGACCCTGGTGTTAAGGTGTCAGCCTGCACGGTCAGCTCCCCACCCTGCCACTGCCCACAGCGGGCAGTGCCCGCGAAAAATAAGCCTCGTCCAGAACACAGCACCTCCCAGCAACACGCGCAAGCGGCTAAAGACCCCGGGGAACAGCAAATCCCTGGCAACACACAGCCGCTCCTCAGTAAGAACATCCCCACCCCACCCCCGGACTGGGCCCACGAAGCCTCCCCAGAGGTCAGAGGCTCACAGGACGACATTGCTAAGCATTTCCAACAGAAAGCATTACAGCTACAGTCAGAGTGCTTGAGTGTTAACTAAACCCTCAGGCTGGCATGCAGCTCAGCCGCAAAGCACTTGCCCAGCCCTGCGAGTGCAGCGTCCTGGGTTCCATCCCTCGTATCAAAGAAGAAAAGACCCTAACTATGCGCTTCTCTAAAGTATTTAATTTCCTTCCTGCTTAGGATAATTTTAGTAAAATTTAATTTACTCCCTATTTTAATGAGAATACATTTTACAGAAGACTCAGTGTGTGTGTGTGTGTGTGTGTGTACACTAGTACTAGGATTTGAACTCAGGGCCTCAAATTCTCACTTAGCTTCTTCCCTCACAGTTGGATCTTCTGCTTCACCTGGGGCTGCTCGGGGACCTGTGTTCAGTGGTTAATTAATCTATGCAGGTCTCCAACACTTGACAGTCAGCCTTCCAACAGTCCAAGCCAGGAGCCTGGCCTCTGGCCCTGGGCCTCTGTCCTGCCTGGTGACCTGTAGCCCTGAGCAGCTCCCTTCTCAGCTTCTGGGTGTCTGTGCAGCCCTGCTGGAGGAAGACAAGCAGAAAGACCCTGGCCACGACAGCGCCGCGCTCCCCAACCCCCAGCGGGGCCTGGAGGGTGCTCAGCAATCTTCCTCCGTTCCCAGCCAGCTTGCCCAGGACGGCATCTCATCGCTCTGCCTGAGCTGCCACGCTCTGCGCCCCTCCGCCCTGCGGAGCCTGGGGCCCGCTCACTGTCCACACAACAGGGCGCTACAGTACGCTGACACCTCTGTGGCACCTTGGTATGGTTTGGATGTTCAATGTGTCCCAAAGACCCGTGTGCTACAGGCGCGGCGTCCAGCCTGGCTCTGAGCTGGTGGAGCCCGCGGGGGCGGGCCTAGGGGTAGGAAGTTAGGTCTTGGGGTGAGCTGTGGGATACTGAGACGCCAGCCTTTCCTGTCTCCTTGTTTCCCGGCCACCGTATGGTGAGCACGCCTCCGCCATCGCTCCTGCACCATTGCTGTGCTGCCTGTGCTGCCACCGGCCAAGCAGCCGCCGACTGACACCTTCAAACCCACAAGCCAGAGGAAGCATCCCCTCCATTCTCCCCAAGACCACAGCACAACACAACAGTGGAAATGCCACTCAGACACAGGTAGCCTGGATGTCCTGCCTTCAGACCCTGCAAGAACCGCCGCCTAGCCGGGTGATGGTGCCCTGCAAGCCTAGCTGCTCAGGAGGCTGAGATCTGAGGATCGCAGTTGGAAGCCAGACTGTACAAGAAAGTCTATGAGACTCCTATTTCCAATTAATTACTCCCAAAAAGCCAGAAGTGGAATTATGGCTCAGTGGTAGAACACTAGCCTGGAGCAAAAGGCAGCTCAGGGACAGCCCCCAGGCTCTGAGTTCAAGCCCCAAGACCCACACATACACACACACACACACACACACACACACACACACACAGCCCCTCATAAGGACAAGGTGACCAGCCGGAAGACAGCTGGGGAGGGGGAGGGCCGGCTCTGCGGCTGGCCGGGGCTCTGGGCTCAGAGCAGCAGCTGGCACGCCCTGCTCTCTGCACCTACCACCAAGGAGCGCCCCGGGAGGACTGCGGGGGAACTGCGGGTCAGTCCCGGGAGGACTGCGGGTCAGCCCCGGGAGGACTGCGGGTCAGCCCCGGGAGGACTGCGGGTCAGCCCCGGGAGGACTGCGGGGGGACTGCGGGGGGACTGCAGGTCAGCCCCGGGAGGACTGCGGGGGGGGACTGCGGGTCAGCCCCGGGAGGACTGCGGGGGGACTGCGGGTCAGCCCCGGGAGGACTGCGGGGGGACTGCGGGTCAGCCCCGGGAGGACTGCGGGGGGACTGCGGGTCAGCCCCGGGAGGACTGCGGGGGGGACTGCGGGCCAGGCCACGCGGGGAGGAGCAGCCAGGTGTCCACACCCTGCAGGCCTTCCTCCTCGGCTCCCTGCTTCACGTGGTAACCAAGCCAGATGGACTTGCGGCCTCACAAGGGCACAGGTGCGCAGCACCGCCTTACCAAGCCCCAGCCCTGGGTTCTAGCCCTAGAACAGGTCGGGCAGGGCCCCTGCAAGGTCCTGAAGCCTGGAGAGTGGAGGGAAATCACCGCAGAAGGAGCCGTGTCCTGAAACACACGGCGCCTGGGAGCACTGCCCTGCGCCTCTCCGCCGCCCTGCGCCTCTCCGCCGCCCTGCGCCTCTCCGCTGCCCCCACGCAGAGAGCCGGGTGGGGCCAGAGGACTCCAGATGGCCACAGGGTGAGCTGGGTGCCGCCAGGGGCAGCCTGTGACTGTGGACAGCTCAGCCTGACCAGCGGCCTGGCTCCTGGCAGTGGGAGGAGGAAAGAAGAAAAAGGAAGCGCGGGAGGTGAAGGTCAGGCGGTGCATTCTGCGGAGGAGGGTCACGAAGGGAATGTGGACCATGCTGGAGGAGATGGAGGACTAGACATGCCCAAGACGCCGAGTAGAGGCAGCAAGCTGAGCATCCTGCCTGCCGCGCTCTAGACCCCAGCCCACACCGCACCACAAACAGCAGCAGAAAGGACGTTGCCAGCCCTGAGGCTCGCACTCAGGACTGGGCTCTGTCCCTGATTTCCTGTTGCTCAAGGCTAGCACTCTACCATTTGAGCCATGGCACCACTTCCGGCATTTTCTGTGATTTAGCTGGAGATTCAATTTGTACAGCCTTTCCTGCCTGGGCTGGCTGTGAACTGCGATCCTCAGATCCCACCCCCTGAGGGGCTAGGATTACAGGCGTCAGCACCTCTCCTGGGTTTTGAAGTTCACGAGCGCACACGGCAGCAGGCAGGCCATCGCCCCTGTCTTCTGAGGGGGAGTCTGGACGCCCACAGACGCCCTGTGGATACCTGCGGCAAGTCACCACCTTGGTCGCTGCCACACCCACACACCAGTGACAGCACCATAACCGTCCATAACCTCGCGTGTACAAGGGGGAGGCCAAAGCAAGCAAGAGGCAAATTTTATTTATCGCCTTTTGGGGGTTTTTGTGGTTACATGTACTGTACATTTTACATAGAACAGCACGAATGAGGTACAGACCAGGCCAGGCTAGGGCTCTATACTGCTACAAAGCAAGAACCTTTGTGCCCACTACAATTTACTTGAGCTGAAACAGGGGCTTTTGATGTTTTTGTGCCAATCCTGGGGCTTTAACTCAGGACTTAGGTTCTTAGGCTACCACTTGAACCACAGCTCCATTTCCAGCTTTCTGGTGGTTGCTTGGAGATAAGAGTCTCATGGACTTTGTTCTCTTTCTTTGTTGTCTTTGAACGGAGATCCTCAGAACTATGCAATTTGTGGGCATGGACAGGAAGAGGAGATGAGGGAAAGTGAATGAAGGTGACATTGTCCAAAAACATTGTACTCATCACCTGACTTAAGGAATTGTAACCCCTTTGTACCACTCCTTAATATCAATTAAAAAAGAATGTGCTTTTTGCACTTGTAGTAAACATGAGCATGAAATTATTTCTGAGCAAATGGTCACAATGAATGGTGTCATCATTTGTAACACACATTGGACCACTTAGACCTGACTGGTTGAAGATGGGTTCTTGGCAAGCTGGCACTCCATGAGCGTAGTTTCATACGTCAGACACCAGGTGGCGCCAGTGCCCGTGAGCTAGATGGTGAGTCTTCAGCTTTAAGGGCAGTTTAAGGTCAAAACCATCCCACGTGAAGAGCAGATTCAGGACCTTCTTGCAGTTCTAAGGACAGAGTGAAACCTTCCACCTCTGAGGCTGTGCCGCGGGGAAGAGAATACTTAAAGTCATTTAAATTTAAAGCAGTTCCTGAGAACAAAGATTTTGAAAATGATTTGCTTTCAACAGATTTTAACGAATACTGTACACAACTATATGGCATGTACTATTTACAGTAAGAACAAAATTAGTACCTTCCCTTATTTCCTATGAGGACATTTTTTCACAGATCTTTTATTTATTGAAGGGAAAAAACAAAATCAAGCTAAAATTAGGGCAAAATCAGTATTTGACTGATGTACTCTGCTCATTTCAAGCCAGGCTCACTCCAGTGACTCAAATCTAGAATCGTAGATACTCAGGAGGCTGAGGTCTGAGGACTGGGTTTGAAGCCAGCCAGAGAGGAAAGAAAGTCTATGAGAATTAACCACCAAAAAGCAGAGGTGGATTTGTGGCTCAAGTAGTAGAGCTTGAAAAAAACGCAACAGGGACAGCACCAGGCTTAGTATAAGCCAGGACTGGCACAAAAATAAACAATTAAAGAAACAAAAACACTCTCAAGGTCCTGCTAATCAAGCGAAGATCTTTCCTTTTCCTTTTTTCCCTTTTTGTCTTGTGCGGGTACTGAGCTTTGAAGTCAGAGCTTCACATACTTCCTTAGCCTTTTCGCTCAAGGCTGGTGCTCTGCCACTTGAGC